AAGTTGTATATATATATAGAAAAATACAACCTAATAAATTCAATCAAATTTGAATTAGGATGAAAAGAATGTGTTGAAAAGAAAACCATAGCTTAATAGCTATATATTTGATATCAGTACAGAATTACTGTGCCACAATACCTACACTTTGTTTTGCAAAATTCATAATTTAATAAAAATAAGGCGAATTCAAATGTATATTGTTCTCCTTAAATGTACCAAAGACTTTTGAAACAAGTTCATAGTTACTGAAAATATTCCCATTTATGTTACAACTATTTACTACATGACTAAGAAACCCAAAATGCAGCACTCTCATTAGTATGTTAATTTTCTGCTTGTACAAACAATGCTGTACTGATTTAATGCATGAGCAAAAACAACAAAGGCATAAAATTTCTATTACAAAGAAATAAAAAAGTGTTACATTTTCAACATACTTGTATCCTATCAAATACAGGTTTCCTTCATGGACTAGAAAAAGCCACCTAAACCTGTAAAAGTTTTTTTTTTTTTTTTGTAGATTCAAATGCTACATTAAATCTTCATTTACTTTACAAAAGCCAAGGGTCAAGTTATTCAACCTTAATGCAGCATATTTGGAGAACGTCATTGCATGAAAGGTTAGATTTCCTGTGTTATATAAAAAATATACACACTGCAAAAGAATAGACTGAAGTACTGAATACCATAATCACACGAAACAGTAGTAGCACTACAGACATTGTATAGTATATTGTATTATTGTATAGTCTCTAGTCAATTTTTCCAGAATGGATTTAAAAAAATATTGTACCAATTCTCAATAACTCAAGAGTTAGTAATGGATACACTTTAGAATATAAATCATGTTTCACCCAATGTGGGTAATCAAAAACTTTCTATACCATTCATTTATCACCTCACACTGCTTTTGTTAATGTCCTTAAAAATACTGACCACTGCAAGTCAACAAACTACATCCCTTCTTAGGCAAACAAAAATAAACAGAGAAATGGGCAGTGAAGTAGATCTGATCATGTTATATTGCACTTAGGAATCAGACGCTAGAGATTCAGTACAAGAGAGTCCAGATCCCACTCAAGTCAGTAAGAGTTATTAGAGCTCAGCATATAATCATGATCCAAACTGTGGGATTTGTTTGTGATAGGAGGCCACTGCCAACAGAGAACTGATGGGTTCTTCCCATCTCAGAAACAGACAAACAAAAAAAAAATCATCTCTTTGCTGTAAAGCTCATCTGTGGTCTGCCACCACTTTTTTACTTTTTGGATTTCCATTTTCCTTTTATAAAATCCTATTTATTTTTTTTTCCTCATTAACAGCCAGCAGCATTGAACACAGAGTCACATTCAAAGCCAATTGCAAGGAATGTCAGATTTTCTGTGACTTCATTAGACTGTGGAATAGGTCTTAGTCTGGACCAAAGGCAAGAACTGACTAGATTTTCACCAGGGTAATGCTGCTCTGTGACTATTTGTGAGGGTGTAGGAAAAAATACTGCAGGGCCTATGCCAGGGCAACCAACGGCAAACCAGGATGTTGCAAAAAATCTTAAGTGCAACTTGAATCCTTCTAATCACCAAGAACATGCTGGTTATAGCGGAAATATTTTCAAAATACCCATGAGAGTTGACCTTAAAAACTATTTAAGCAGGGACACAAGTTTAGAAACAACTAAATATTAAAGACCTTTGATTGGAATAAATGTTTTACAGAGAAAGAGCGTAAATAATAAACCTTCTTAAAATTTGCACAAGCATTATATGAATCAAAGGTCAACATGTAAATCAAAATTTATAATAGAAAAATGGGACAAATAAAATTATGAACGTGATAACTGATATCTGCAAACATTTCCTCAAAGACTTCAACGTATATCGATAACATATATCCCATATTTGACTTCGCAGTCATGCTTAAACAAAAGCTATCTCTGCAATTTGGTAGCTTCTTGAAAGAGATGTAAACCTATAAATTAGGTTCCTTGCTAAATATTGTGAAATCTAGTAGTAGATAATATGCATTTTTTAATATAAATCACTTTTTAATACTGACCATAAAATGCTGCAATAACTGCAAACTGGAGTACTTACAGAATTTCATCTATCATTATAACAGATAGAGCTCTTTTAAAATGTTTTCATTGTCTAAATAATTACATAGCTGTTGATTTTGTATTCATAAAAAATATCCTTCTGAAACATAACTCTCAAAAGAGGACTAATTCTCTGTTACTGTACTTGTATTTTTGTAATGCTTCCAGTATGCATCTTATGCACATGAAGTTTTACTGAAGGGCATTACTTTCATTCCTAGATATATTTTTTCAAGTTTCTTTAAAAGTTTTAACATCATTCTACAATATTTGCTATAAGAATACATCAATGACTTAAGTCACTATGACATTTATACTGACATGAGTACATATATAGTCTGTAATCTTATTGCTGAACCTAGAATGTGATATCAAATGTTTCCTGCACCCCTATTCAGGAAAGCATTCTGTTCAGCATCTTCCTGAAACATAAATGTTACTTTAAACTGAATTTGGGGTGTTATATCTATGTTCACTAAGTAACCTGGATACTCCATTTACATATGCTACTGGGTTGGGTTTTTTTAACCAAACTGGAAATTCATGGACATGGGGAAGCAACTATTTGCTTTTATTCTCCAGTAGAATGCAAGAAAATAAGAATTACTTAAATAAGTCTTGCTTTACGTAACTTCAATAAATGGAAGAAACCTTCCATAGCTACAGTAGCTGTATCACTAAAATGTACCTTTTTATCCTGAAAATCAGCAAAATGAGCTTCCCGTTGCCACACAAAAATTAAGATGCCATTAGCACTAATAACGCTACGGTATCCCTTCCGTGTGAGCTGAAGAGATCTTGATCATACCTTTTTTTTTTATTTTCATCTCCTTGTAACGCCTAGACATGCAAGCAATCTAATAAATTTCAAGTCGACATGGCATGTACATGTAATGAAAGCACATATGTAAGAATTAGAGCTATAATCTGTCTGACAGTCTCTTAAACCTCTTAAGCTACTAAGATTAAGACTGGGTAAAACCAATCTCCTTACATACAGATAATCAGTTGACAAAGTGTGCGAACTAGAAGCCTGTGTAAGTAACTGAAATTGTGTTTTATAAAAGTCACATTTTGAGGCCAGGATCAAAGCCTGACTCCTGATTCTTTATTATGCTACTTGTAACAATACTAGAAGTAAAGACAAAAATAAAACATTGGCCACACTGAAGACCTTGAAAATTCAGTGAAAGCGGACTTATGCCCTATACCCTCTCATATAAACTAATTATATCTAAACAACTTGTCTAAAACAAACACATTTAAATGGCTACCTATGCAAGCCTATATCTGATATACACGTTGGCCCCGGCAGACTTTGTGCTGTCTCTCTTAATGACTCAAATGCTACCATGGTTCAGTGAGTAAGAACGGACTTAACAACAAATGCCATTTGTGGATTTTAAATCTCAGAAGGGATGCAGAAATGAGAGTTGAATCAAACTGTTCATTTCAGATAACTCTGGGTTTACTGGGCATTGCAGTATTTAGGGGGGAGATGCAGCTTTGAAAAAAAAAAAAAACCCAAGGTACAAAACCAAAGCAAACCTGAGTTTTGGTCCTTTTAAGAGCTTGTCTACTTAGAAATCTCACTGGTATAATTACAGTAGAAGTCTTCCTTTCTGTATGTGGCTGCATACAGGGAGTTTATAATGTAACTTACCCACTTTTCGGAACAAAGAATAAACGAATCTCATATAAGACACCTTTTTAATGTACTTTTTTTAAAGTATGTCCACTCTAAGATTTATGCAACACAGGTACATGTGGTTGCAAGCCAAACAACCTCCTAATTTGCAGTTACTTGTCTACTGAAATGCACGTAGACAATGTTCTTGTGTTCTTTCTTAAGTGTAAGAAGCTTCATTTTACCACACCAGTGCTGAAGGAAGTAAGCTAGGAATGACATAAACCCATGGCTATAAACCACTGAACTTTTGGTATGTTTAAAAAACAACACTAAACCAAAATATTTAGTGTCCTTTCTGGTAATGAAATGTATCGAACATAATGAAATGTCTTGTGCAATGAAATGTATGACGAATGAAACAATGAACGAATGAAATGAAACTAGCCAAATCAACCTTTTCTTTTCCAACCCTTTCACATTGTCAGTTATACTCTGCTTCATTTGACAAGCCCACTGTTCTCTCAGGGCAGGTGGCGAGGCAGGCATGAGTGTGGCTAAAGTACTGATGTAATCTATATATATTTGCCTGGCAGATAGTCTAAACAGTCCCGATAATACTCCAAGCTGCACTTGGACATGGTCAGCCACAGAATGTGAGCATTAACAGCTCTCTTACAGTGCATCAGGTAACGTGTCAGGAAGTATTCCCTCCATTGTTTTGCCAGAAACTGAAATTCAACCCGAGGAATATACAGACTTATCTGCAAACCCTGTGCAGGTTTGACCTGTGAACATAAAGGCTATGGGTTTTCTCATCAGACATGTCTGTTGGCATGTCCAACATCTTATCCCTGGCAGTACCTGAATGGATCCATGCTGCCAGGAATTCTGTGGAACACCTGGATCCTGCTCCATGGAAATATACAGCAGAGTCTTCGGGTCTTGCCCTGAATCTTTTTGCTAGGTCCCATAGAAAGCACATCATCTCCAGCTTTCTACCACTCACTTCTGTTTCTGTAGGCTCAATCCCTACAGTAAGAGCCCTAGGACCTGGAGAACAGTCTAGAGGGAAACCACAAGGCAGATGACTGAGTAGGAAGGGTAACAGGCATGCAGAATAGGTATCAGATTTGGATGATTCCACTGAATAATCTCTTTTTGAGCAGGAGGAAAATCATCAGCAGAATTAATGGGTCAAACAATTTTCTTCACTTTTGTTAAGTATTTTTTGTGCTCGGAAATAAAATGTAGTGTACTCTAACAAAGAATGAATCGAAACTAAACATGTAATCCAGCAAGTATTTATGGAAGCTGTTGGCTTCAAGAGCAAACACAGAATCTGTGTAGCAATTCATGTAAAGTTGGTCAGTCCATGAATCAAAAAATATGCCTCCTACATCCCAATAAGCAAAATCATAGCACTACACATTACTTTTTTTTCACACACAAATCAGTGCAAATGTGTTAGTCACATGTATGAACATAATTAATATCAAAAGGAGGATTTAAATATATTGCTCTTATTTGTACATGCTGATAACTTCTCAGACCAGCAGCTTTGCAGTCACAAGTGTTTTTCCTTAATGGGGAAACCAATATTTGTAACCAAGATGTAGGCATTTTCAAATTTCAGAATGTCTTAAAGATAAAACTCTGCTTAAGTTTCTGATGTGCCTTCTCCATTCTCATGCGGTTGCAGCTGTTCTCTTTCTTGCTCTTCCTGAGGTGGTCTCACACGTTTGAAAAAGCCCATCTGTGATTCAGAGAACAATAAAGAAATTGCATCATGATTTTCAAAACATACATCCTTTCTCTTTCTCCTTCCTTCTTCATCAGATCTTACTAGTTGTTAGATTTTTTTTTCCCCTTCAACTCAAAACTTTTTCCTTATTTTTGACCTCCAAAGCCAATAAGTATCAGCTGAAAAATTAAACTGAGTAATTCAGCACAATCACAGACATCCTCTTTTATTGAACTTCTTCCTGACAAAGCTGAAAAGTAAAGATATCCAAAAACCTAACTGATTCAGATGATTAGAGGACCAAGGTATTCTGCAAGCTGCTGGTACTATTTGAAGTAATACATCACTAGTAGGGGAAAAAAACCAAAAAAACCCAAAAAACCCCCACACCATTACAGTACTTACTCTGTACATAACAAACACTAGAACAGCCAAGAGCAATAATCCTGCTAGGACAGCCAAAATTATAACCCACACTGGCACAGGCATAGACTGTGGTTGAATGCCCCATGTAATATTTGTAGTAACCTAGGAGAAAAACCACAATAAATCACACTTTGCACAGCAGTGACATGCCGAGTTCATTCATGCAGTTTAAGTCTTGTATGTCTTTATTCTATAGTGTTTAAAAATAACCCAGCATAAATTACTTTTTCTCTCCAGTGTGAGTAAACAGCTATAGATTAATAGTGACATAAAGACTTCACTGACCCAAATTTAATAGGATTTTAAAATTAAATACAAATGGGTTTCAGGGTTATTTTGGGTTTGGGCTTGTTTTTTTGCAGTCAGTGATACCATGACAACACGTATTCTGTAATGCTTAATGATTTTCAGTAAAACTGTAGAAGTCTCAAAATATTTGGGAATTAAAGAAAAATAATTAAGTGCTTTCCTTTTTTTTTTTTTTCTTAAAAGGCAGTATTTCTTGAAACTAAAATCAACTCCACAAGGCTTACAAGAGAAAAAACAGTTAATAATAGGCATTAGAATCAATCACAAGCTTTTTCAACCCCTTTCTTAAGATCTTCTATACTACAGTGCCTACCAAAACCTTTTCATTTGGCTGCCCAAACAAATGGCCTATATCTTCCTTTCTGTTTGCACCCTGTCTCCTTTCTCTCTGAAGCCCTCTAGGGCACAGATGGTCTTTTTGTTCCACATTCACATAGTACTTCATAAAATATAACAAAGTTCCATTATTCAAACTCTTAAGTGCTACTACAGTAGAAGATAATTTTCAAGTAAAATATTTCTCTAACAATAATGGCATTAACAAGAACTTTAGGACTGCTCACCACCATTTTAGTATTTTTCAGTTAAGCTTTTAAAGCTACAAATATTGTTAACTCTAGCTTTAAGACATAAATTTTTGTTTTACCCTCGATTGTACATGTATAACCAAAATATGAATCAAATATTTGATAAAATTACAATTATATCAAGCCACAAAAAAGCTACTCAAAAATCATTGGTTTCATATTTTTTGAAGTAATTATTTATGGTAACTCAAGCTGGATATAAATGACTTACAACTGTAGAATTGTGAATATCTTCAAAGGAAAGGTTCTTATAAGGGAACTCTATAACATTGAAAGCAGCAGATGATTTGAGAGAATAGGAGTGATTCTGATTTTCTTTCTGTGTAAGAAAAAATAAAATTAGTATTGCATAGGGATACAAAAAAATCACTTTTTGTTTTTCAGAAGCAGGGACAGAATATTCACAGTCACTCACATTCATGAAAGTTTGGGTCCAAAGGCGTGATTTTAAATACAAAATCGCACTCTTCCCCTGTCCAGGTGGCCAACTTGACAGACTATCTTTAAACAATCAGCATTTCCACAGCCCTGCATATGAAAATAGGAAGGATATTCCAAATATGAAAATATTTGAAAAGTCATTAATGGCATTACTTTACCCATATACATACTTTATTGTCCTCTTTTCCTGGCAAAGCACCATATTCAAATATATTAAATAACCCCCAATATTGAATAATTACTTATAGTGTCCTCTAAGTTTGCATTAAGAAAAATACTATGTGAGCCGCTTGGATCCCAAAGGTGAAACAGCTGGCAGTAGCTCTAAGGTATGTACTTCATCTACATACGTAGGAAAAAATATCGGAGGGTGGGTGGGCGGTTTCTGGTCAATTCATATGACCATCCTCCACACGTTTTTTGATAGGAAAACTCATGGCAATTAACTGCACTTGGTGCCAACAAAATACGCTTTGTTGCGTTCAACCGAAGGCTTCAAACTTGACTGACTGACCTAATCTATAAGTCATATTTAGGACTACAGAAGTTCAACTGGCCTTTCTCAACCACATTCCCATTAAAATCCATCAGATAATATTGGTGCTGAACCACCAGTATTTCTGGAGGAGGCAAAGCAAAAATAAGGCTTCATTTTACAATTGTGATTTCAGCTGTACTATAGATAAAAGCACTGTACAGTGTAGGTGCATCTGCCAGTGTAAGAACAACTCAGTGAAATTATTATGAATACTGGATATTAGTGCCTACAAAGGCATTGGGAAGATCTGGCAAAACCCAAGCCCTTAAAAAAAACCAAAGCAAAACTTCCGAACTGCATTTATAAATACTAAATAATATTTTGAGTTTATATCTAAAAAAAAAAAAACACCAAACTTTTCTCACCATATAATAAGAACTTAATTCCTATTTCCACTTTCTTTGCTTAGCCCTTTTTTTGTCCTCTCCAAAGCCTAAACATTTCTGGAATCAGGGTTGTACTCTCTTAGTCCCATTGGTCCAGCCTGAACTCCCAAGCCTTTCTCTTTGCCGCCTGCCTGTCCTGCCTTGCCCAAAGCAGGGATAGGTTCATGTCTGCAAGCGCAGTTAGAGAGACAGTGATAAGGTAATGCATTTTCTTCATACTACAGATTATTTCCAATCTTGTTTAGAAAGGACAGGTCCTCCATGTGTCTGATTGCAGAACATCCACTGATCAGCTCAGAAACACGTGTGACATGGACTGTAATTTGTAACAAAGATGATGACTACAGCACTCACCTGCTTCCTCTCAGTTATCCTATTTTACCAGCCTTCCTTGTATGAAGTACTGATTTTCAGATTCAGAAACCAGCACAATATAGAAGACTGACACTGAATGAAATGCCCAACTTGACCTTTACTTTTAAGGACTTAAAACATGACAGCTCAAAACTGTAGGCTTATGCCTCACTGGCTGACTACCCTGAGGAAAAGTGATGCGTATTGGAAAAAGAAAAAAACCAAACCAACACACTACAAAACAAAAAAACCCCAACACACACCAAAAACCCCAAACCACAACAAACCAAAAAAAAACCAACCAACCAGAAAAACCAGCTCCAGAGCATCTGACTTTTTTGTCTGTTAACTGTTTAAATACAGAACATGGATTTTCTGAAACAATTCTTCATCTCATGGAGCTTTCATCTTCATCTCCATTTAAAAAAATGCAAAAAAATATTAATATATCAATGCTGATAGCTTACCAAAGTATGCACATCTCCTTCAATGGCAGTTATATCCCTTCGACTGATATGATGATCGTGATTATCTTCCCTGCTAAGTGTTTCATTCTTATCATCATCTTTAGAAGCAGAAATCTAGGATACACCCAAGAAACCGAAATAATAAATAATTCTTACATTTAGTTATTTGCAGACTTCAAAGTTAAGGTTAAGAAAATATATAACTGATCAGGTTTCTCTCTATCCTAGCTATTCTTCAGAACCTAGCTTTACCTACATCTGTACTTAAAGTGTTACTCCTGCCTTTTCTACATCACTGATGCAAATTTCTAATAAGAACTAATGCAGATTCTTGAGTATCTTAATTCTTCTTCAACTCAAAACTTTTTCATGTATCGAAAAAAATACTCTTAAGACTGCAACAAATAATTCAATTTTGCAATCTTTTATTAAAGTTTTTTTCTCAAAATTTCAGTTTTTAACTCTGAAAAAATAGCACTAGTATGGAAGTGATGTACCATATACCACAGTACATGTGTACACATGCCCAGACATACACAAAAACTTCTTTAGGAAGGGCTTGAAAAAGTATACAGTAGGTTTAATAAATTATTTCATTAATCTCTTAGAAATTCCCAATGTAAAATTGCAAATTGACATATGGGACTAGGCAGACGCATGCTACTTGTCCTCTATATAACAAATTTATGTGAGAAAACTTACAAGAGAGTTGTAAAATATACATTCTTACAAAGGGTATAGCTAAAGCACAGGAAATTTTTATTGATATATTCATTAATGTTGCTTTCTGATTATCAAAGATATGCGAGTATTCTTTGTTGTTCTATACACTGAATATCTTTCCTTAGTCTTTTTATACATGTGTTTGCTTAGATTCTTCTAGAATATACTGATTTTTACTACTTGTTCTAAATTGTCTTAGAATTCAGCTCTCTACTCTCAAACTTGCTGGTTTTTATCTGGTGTTTCTTTGTCTTGTCCAGCCTAGGAAAAAGGAGTTTATTCTGCTCTGTGCTCTGCAAACTGCATGTTTTGCTGACAGTGATAGCATACTCCTAAGCTCCACCGAAAAAACCCTATTGATCTTTGTGGCATTTGGATGAGGGCCTAGGTAAATAAGCTAGTAATAGGAAAAATATTGCCATTTTCTTCCAAGAAATAAGACCCAGAAAACGTACATGAACAGCCCAGAAGCATCTGGAATGTTTTTGTTCATGACCACATTGAATATAATTCATTGCTTTGGACTTAACACAGTGCAGTCTTCAAAAAAAAGAAGAAAAAAAGGAAAAAACACACACACAAAAGAATAGAAACAAGACAAATTTATCTCTGGTTTGACAATCTATTGTCTAACTTTTATCCCATCTGTTATATACATTGACAAGTACTATCAAACAGTGCAGTGTTGTTCCTCAAGCAACAGATGAAAACTTACCTCAGTGTTAGATATTCTCAGGGATCTGGTATTTTGAGTGTTTTTCCAAAAGAAACAAACATACTTCATACCGCTCAAACTATAAGGAAAGTCCTGCTTACCTTAATTTTCAATGGATTGATTTCCATATCAGAAGTGCAGTTCATGGGACCATCGATTTCATACTGAACAATATACAACAGCGTGTAGTTTTTATATTTGTAAGGCCACTGCAAAGTCATCATCACTTTGCTGAATGCACTTGGACCGTTGTTTCTCAGCTGATTATGAAAGTAGAGTTAACAGATGTAAAAAAACCCCAATGCGACCTTCTTTGTTAACGTGCATATAGTTGTTACTTTATAGTTGAGCTATGAATGATACTGCCACTACCCCTACCCACCACCACTTACGGCAATAGCATCCACAACTTCACCTAGATGGTAGCTAAACTTCAGTCCCCCAACAGGCAAAACTTAAAATTACTTCTGTAGTTTGATAAAAATTACTTTGAAGAAAAGCTATATGGCATTAGGGGTTTTGCCTTGAAGATACGCAATTTTTTTCCTTTAAAAAATGGGGGTTTTTTTGTAGTCTATTGCATCAATCACAGCCACTCTACATGTCTCAGCCAAGACACTCTGAGCACAGATATATCCACCCATGAGTTCCGTTAGATAAATAGTCTCTTAAGTTCTAGAACAACTTTTAACTATTTTTATTCACATAGCTTTCTCAGTAATTTAATTGTTTAATCAAACAGTCTAGATTAAAGCTGTGATCATTCTTTTAAGGAAATTTTAAATACTTAGAAGTTTGTCAAGGCAGAAGACTTAACAATAATGATTCAGAACAGTTGGAATACAAAGGAGGATACTGAATAATGTACAGCCATGAGTCATTTTCCGAGTTCAAGTTACTTCAAATGTTTTATCTAGATTTCAAAGTGTTAGAAAATAAAACATGTGTAACACTGTAAAAAAATAGCCTTTTTTATTTAGCCACTCCTGTTACTCTAATTGCAGGCATTCTAACCCTTTTTGCAGATACCAATTATTGACCCAGCATTAAAAAATAAAATAAATCTTTGTTTCCATGCAAGAACAAAATTAAGAAAAAAAAAATCATCATTTACTCCAGAGAAAAGCTACACCACATGATTTCTTTTCATTCATCACAGAACTGTGCAACTGAAATTAGTAGTAGTTGCATACCTCATAGATATGCTGAACTAGAGGCCCAATATCATCTTCTGTTTCTGGATTCTCCTTCGGCTGCCAGTTTGCAATAGGAAGGAATATGTGATCAGGGGACGACACACTAAACAGTGGAGCAAACAAGTCTGTATTATAAAGTATGAAACAGTAAATGTAATTCTCTAAAACATCTCAAAAAAAATCAACATGCTTAAAATACAATCTCCAATTTTTCATCCTCGGTATATAAAAACAGAAGGAATAGAGGTTGAGTGGCTTGTATAGTAAATATTCAGTTTTCTTCTCTACATGAAAAGAGGAATCCTATAATTAGAAACATTATTTTCCTGTCCTAAACTGGATTCATCCTGCAACATCCAATAAACCATTAATAGAATTAAGATACATACATGTCATCCAAAAAATACAAAGTGTGAAATACTTCAATAATGAGAATTATTGATGTAGAAAGACTTATCAGTACAGTCATAAGAATCATTCAGCATGCACTCAGAAGAGTGAAGCTAGCAATAATGCTTTTCAGTTGTGCCATTCCCCCACCTCTCAGATATGAACAAAATTAGATCACGATAATGAATGTAGTGGAAATTTTAAAAAATTGTGAGTTGGGAATCAGAGTTAACTGGCTAAGCAAGAGGACTGTACAGCTTGTATAGATTTCTGGTAAGCAGAAGTAATGGAAGTAATGGAGTCATTACAATATTAATACTATGCTTAAGACTGAAGAAGGTGAGGACATTGCAAACTTATCTTCAATAGGATTTTCAGCTTTGGTTTTATAAAAGGTTTCACGGGCTTTTGCATGAAAACCCAGTCAGTTTGTGGAGGAGGAAAGTGACCTGGAGAAACGTGTGCAACTGTAAAAATGAGTAGCCATTTATTTTTTTGTCTTTAATCTTAAAAAAATTACAGTAACAGAGGCACAACATTCCTTTTTGGAATTAATTTCATAATTATTCAGTTATTTAAGATCTGAAAGTCCAAGGGGTGGCTAGAGAGAACCATATTTAGCACAGAGAAGAGAAGGCTGAGAGGGGACCTTATAAATGCTTATAAATATCTAAAGGGCGGGTGTCAAGGGGCTGGGGCCAGGCTCTTCTCAATGGTGCCCAGCGACAGGACAAGAGGCCATGGGCACAAACTGGGGCACAGCAAGTTTAACCTGAACGTGAGAAAAAAAACTTCTTTACTGTACTGGTTTGGGCTAAATCAGAACTAATT